AGAGGAAACTGTGGCCTGGGGCTTTGAAGGCTTGCTGATTAGCACACATGTCCCCCCTCCCTACCACCGGCCCCATCTCAGATGCACCAGTCCTTGTGCTTGGTGGCTAACGGTGACAAAACCAAGATGAATCACTGTATGTCAAGATCCGTAGATTATCAAAAGACTAGGTAGCAGGTCTGGGATGAGAGATCAAAGCCAATCAAAGCCAAAGGTAAAACTCTCTGACCTAGGTTTTGGTCTTTTGTTTTTAGACGGTGGCAGCTTCGATTTGCTTCCCGCTGGCCCAGAAAGGTTGGCTGGAGCAGGCAGAGCTAATCCAGGTGCAGGTGGAGGGGCTGCTGGAGCCATCAGGAAGCCTCCCTGCTGCTCCCTCCCCTCTACCCACTGTAGGCTGGGGAGGGAGAGAGGTAGTCAGGGAGAAGTCTTTCCCTCCTTCCTTGAGAGGAGGTCAACTGTGCTGGCCTTGTTTCCTAAAGGACTTGTTCTCAGGCCAGTGGATACTATCCTGCCGTTAGTGCTAGAAGGTGTGTGCTGGACTCATTTCCAACTCTCTGGTTGGCCAGCAGTGTTGATCCAGGCCCCCCCTTCACTTGGGATTAGAGGAAGGGGGGTTAACTGGGGTCATTTTTGGCTCCCCAGCATCTGAACTCCTCCCCCAAGCTTAGGACACTTACCTCCTCATGAATCTTAATACCCTAAGAAAGAGCCCCAAAGGCCAGGTGCTTTCTCCTCTAGTATCCTTTGGACATGGACACACAGTGGGACTTGGCCAACCATGTGCTCCTGCTTCAGATGGAATCAGAAGTGAACCTGCACCAGGACATCCAGGTGGCTCAGTCGGTTAAGCATCTGCCTTCAGCTCAGGTCAGGATCCCAGGATCCAAATATCCAGCCCTGTGGCAGGCTCCCTGCCACCTCCCCACCAACCTCCACTCATGTACAACCTCTCTTTCTCTCAAATAAATAAATAAAAATCTTAAAAAGAAGAAGTAGTAGTTGTTGTTACTGGTACCAACAAACAGGGACAGGGGAGAATCCCTTCTGGGGGATGCTGCAGGGCAACAGAAGTATCCAGGCTCCCAGGGCAGTGGTGCCCATGGTGGTGTCCGGTGTCCAGGGCTGAGGGTGGTGGCAGCACTGGGTGGCAGCTGCCTTGGCATCCTCATCACTCCCTTTCTGTGCTGTGACTGTGCCTATGGCCTGAGGTGTGATCCTGAGTTCCTAGGCCCTGTGTTTTCTGAGGCTGTTTCTCCAGCCTTCTCCGTGATTCCGTGAGTTACTCGATAGCCTTTCAACAAATTCCGTTTCCACTTAGATCAGTCAGAGTTGGTTTCTGTTGCTTGCAGCTGAGAACCCTAACTCTGTCCAACTACAACTGGTTTCAGTCAATCGTTTGCAGATGCTTTTTTTTTTTTTTTTCCCTTCACTGCCTGCATTCTTCATGTCTCTGCCCTCCTGGCAATTCCACAAGTAATCCAGAAAAGGAGGAATAAGCATGCAGAGAATTTGACCGCAGCTGGGAAGTGAGCCAAGAGAACTCTGAAGAACGTGAATATTAGATCTCTCATTTTGTCAGGTGGGGTGGATGCGGGATTAAGGAGACAGAAGGCTGTGGGCTGTCCATCATATTTTATTTTTCAACCCAATTTGGTTTTACAGTGATTACCCATGGCACTTAAAAATCCCATGAGGGTATGGACCAAGCCTGTCTTGTTTTCCCTAGTACCCAGTTCATATTGGATACTTAGTAAATAGTGGCAAAGGGGTGATGATGGAAGTCTCACGAAGAGAATTCAGGGAAGGGAAGCTTAATATATCCTTGATGCCTCTTTAAAAAAAAGAATTGTCTCAGCTCTGTGGGAGCTGAAGATTAAGGCCTGTGTGTCGAGCCAACACTGCAGATATGTGATTGTGTTGACTGAAGAGCAGGAGCCTGGAGCTTTAGCCATCAGACTGTCAAAGACAGAGACAACACACTCCCAGGCAGGCTGAGCCTGACTTGGGTCTGGCCCAGATAGAATGCCTGTCTGTTTCTTCTTTGGAAGGGAGCCCCAAGAGTGTGCCTGCAAAGCTGAACTAAGATGGTTCTCCGAAAAGCATTTTGAATCAATTTCAAATGTGTTGACAGTACATGGTTGAAACCCCAGAACTGGGTTGGGGGTGGGTAGAGTTAATTTGAATCTAGAAAACCAAGGTCAGGTTTCTGTGTGAGCTACCTTAACTGTGTAAGACCCTCGGTCTGTCTGTTGTAGTAAGCTGGTTTTAAGTGACCCTGGCATTTGGATTTGGGTCCACGGGACGCATTTGCTATAAATTAACTGACTCTGATTCTAATTCTTGTCTGTGGCATTAACCAATGAAATCTTACCTTAGGTAAGTCTCTTAACTAACTTAGTCTAAGCTTTCATTTCCCAATTTCAAAGTCCCTCATTTTATTTATTTTTTTTAAAGATTTTATTTATTTATTTGACAGACAGAGATCACAAGTAGGCAGAGAAGCAGGCAGAGAGAGATAGGAGGAAGCAGACTCTCTGCCGAGCAGAGAGCCCGATGCGGGGCTCGATCCCAGGACCTGGGATCATGACCTGAGCCGAAGGCAGAGGCCTTAACCCACTGAGCCACCCAGGCGCCCCCAAAGTCCCTCGTTTTAAAATAGAGGGTTTGGACCATCTCATTCACCCATTTCCTATCTAAAATATGACCTTTCTCTTATTTTCCTTAAGGACAAGAATCATGTGTTCTTCTTCAATATGCCCTTCTGTTCAAGCACAGATCTGGACACGGCAGGCACAGACAGCCTGCAGTATGGCTGTGTTCCAGAAAGTCCTAGGCCAAGACTCCTCTAAGAACTTTCTCGAGCCAGGACCTAGGGCCAGCAGTGATAAAGTTAGAAGAGGAAGAGCACTGGCATCCTTTGATCTATAAGCAGTTACAGAACCTTCTAAACTGCTCGTAGCGCTCAGGTTTGCTCTGAAGCTGGACACCCAGGCCCCACGTGGAGCCCAGGCTCATCTTTGCATTCACATTGAACAGTAGAAGACGGCAAAAGCCAATGCTTCCAATACAGTCTGGGGCTGGTGGAGGACAGAACTGTGAAAGATCATACACATGTGTATATCTGTTAAAGCTGGGTTCTAGAACCTGGTTTCAACATGCGGAATCCAGGGTGACTCTGTCTGCCCGGCGAGGGTGCTGCAATGTTTTCCGTCCTGGTCTTAGAATGGTAAGTCATCAGGGACAGCAGACAGGATGGTCATCTTACTTCTGCTCCTTTTCAGGGAACAGGCAAGCGAACTGCTGGGGGGGAGAAACAGAGAAGGGGGCAGGAAAACAAGTAAGTCGCAGCATGGGGGGAGCAGGGAGGAGAGAGAATGGCAACAGACATGGGAGCTCAGCTGCCAGCAAAGATCTGAGGCGCTACATTGCTCCGAGGAGGGGAGGCAAGCCTTCCCGAATCCTGGCGCCCCAACATGATTGTGAAAGCCGCACCCATGGGCCCACAGACAGCCAACACTGCTGTAGAACCAGTGAGACACCTTGGGAAGCTGCTCAGGTTTCTGGAGACATCTCTGTAAAAGGTGTGCCCTTTGTCCCTGGTGGATGCTTGGAACCCCAGTGGGAGGCGATCCTGGAGCTGCCACCAGAGCTGAAAATCCATTTTTTTCTTTTCTTTTTTAAGGCAAAGTTAATTTCAGAAATTTTGTTCTCAATTTTGTTCTAGGGCTCCGAGCCAATTCCTTCCTTCCCAGTGGCGGCCGGCCGGCAGGGCAGACTGAGCAGGCGCAAAGAGCTTTGATGTCAACAGAGGTAGGCAGGGCAGGCCCCAGTGGAAAACTGTGAAGTCAGCAGAGTTATCTCCGGCACTCCGCCCTTCCCCCTTGCTTCCCCTTTCTCCACCCATTTCCCCCTCTCAGCTTCCAGCTTCTCATTTCCCAGGGGACCCTGGAACATATGAAAACCCACCCCTCCAAAGATAGGAGGGGGCCAGCTCATGGCTCCAGCTATCAAAGTCTGCCTTCCCCCCCACCCCCGCGTCTAAAACAAACAAAGGCGTGCATTCCATACATTTCCTAAGGAAGGAGAGTGAATACAGAAACCTTGTCCTTTGTGCTCTCTTGGTGAAACCCCAAGAGCCTGGGGCCTCAAGTTTGAAGCTGTCTTCCTGCCTCCTGGGACTTTAAAAGGAATCAGAAGTGCCTCAAACCCATACATCTGCTTGGTTTATGGCTCAAATGTAAACCACAAATTATAAAATGATAAATCGCTGTTCGAATCTCTTCCAGGAAAGACTATGTTGTCAAGATTAAGTTACAGCCTCATGGCCGTATGAGTGAGTCTCGCTGCTGACTAACTCTCTCACTCATTTTCCTGCTGGAAATGTTTTTTTCTTCTTGAACTTTCACTGTTTCTGAACACTTTAAACAAAGAAAATGACCGAAGGCAGGAAAAACATCAGGGACTTCTCAACCCATGGAGCCTTTTACAGGCTTTATTATGTAACGGCTGCTTTCGTTTTGTGAGCACCAAAGGAAGTTGAAGAAATCTTTCTTCTTGAGCGCTTAACTGCCAGGGAACGGTGAGACATGGCTTCACGTGGGCAGTGACCCTCACTTCAGACTCTCGTCGGAATGTGGAGTGTGTGGTAAATCAAAGCCGCCTTAAGGAATCTGGGTCTTAAAGTATCTGTTCCGTGATTTGAGCAGGATTGCTACATGAGTTACTGTATTTCGCCCACATGAAAATCAATTCTTTAGAATTCTGTCACAGGGCCTGGTCTAGCGACAGAGGAGTGTGACAAGTAATGAGGCCCCATGCAGGCTTTCCCATAAGGATTCTCCTCTCCGCCAGAGCTTTGGCAGGCCAAAGGAGGAGCCATGAGGTCCCTTGATTGAGATACCCTAACGTGCCTGGCTGTGGGTCTGTCACCCTGACCTCATTTTGAGGGCCCGAGGCTGCAGGAAGCAACCCAGCTGTCCACTGTGTTTCTCCAGCACTGCCTTTGGTGATACAACCCTGACCTGGTTTCTGCAAGGCCACTCAAGGCCTGAGGACCATCAGACCGTGAGTCAGAATCAGGGCAACCTTTCCTCCTAAGCTCCTTCTGATTTATTTTATACCTCAGCCCCTTCAGTCTCTTTCTTGGGGTCCCCAGGTCCTCACGGCGGTTTTCACTTTCTGACACGATTCCACAGTATTGCCCACACCAGTGCCTCCAGGCCCCACCCCAGCTCCTCTTGTCTGCTTTTCCTGAAGTCGGCCTGCTGTCATTACTCCTGCTTTTTCTGGGACACTTCAAGTTGTGGAGAGAGGTTTTATTTGTGTGTGTGTGTTTTTTTTTCTTTTTTTTTTCCTGTGATTATAGTTCTTTCTTCCAATTTTGACTAGTCTGGCGTCTCTCTGATTATAGCTTATTAGGATTCCTGAAGCTAGAAGGCACTTTTTGTTTTTGTTTTTCTTTTCAGGCTGCCTTGTTTTTATTTTTTTTAATAACATGCATTACAATTTATTTTTGCATGTCAGTATAAAGATGAACGCAGTAATAGTCATGAGCCCCACAGTCCAGACTACTCCCAACAGCATTAAAAATAATAAACACAGAAGTCGTGAATATGTGGGAAGAAAATAAAAACAATTTTTAAAAGGTGTAAAAGGAAGAATAAAAACTTCCCATTCTGCCTGAGTCCCTCCCCCCAAATATAACCACTATTACTATTTTTTGTTTATTCTTGGTACACATATTGATTTATGTCCTTTAAAATTTTATGTCAAAGCGGTCTTACTCTACTTATTCTGCATTTTGCTTTTTTCACCCAAAAAGCTACCTTAGAGATCTTTCCACATGTGCACTGCAGATATACTCCCTTCTTCTAATGTCTGCAGAGTCTTTGTAAGAAGAGAATGTGACTTCCAAATGAGCGGCACTCAACGTAATTCCTGCCCCCTTTCTGTCCCTTTACTCCTTCTACTCCCTGAGGACTAGCAAGCTTGGAAGTACAACTTAGACATGCTGGGTTCAGCTCTGCCCTTTCTCCTTAGCCTGTAGGGAGTGTGCCTTCTGCTGCCAGAGAAGTAGGCAGAACTGGGTGAACAGATGCTTGGTACTGGGTTTCAGTTGTGTGAAATGTGTCTCTCATTTAATGTGAGATCGTGTGTGGTACCACATCCAACTTTGTCTTTTATAGGCATTATTAGGCCTTCGTCTGCCAGTCCTCAGTTTTATTTCTCAATTTATTCAGAGCTAGAGCAGGGAAGAGGGCTGCCATTTATTGGGCCAACCTAGGATCCCCAAATATTGTTCCTTATATAGATATATCAAAATGTATTTGATCAGTTTTCTAATGATGAATGTTTAGGTCATTCCAGTCGATGGCTTAAACAGACATCGGTGACATCTTTATGCATATACGTGGGTGTACTTTTTGCAAGCACATCGATGGGCAAATTCCTTATACTACAAGTGCTAGGTCAATGGCATGTGCCTTTGTGTCCCAAAGATGGGAGAAAAGGCCTCCCTGGAAAGGAGGGACCAAGATAATAAACTAATAATCATAATGTAATAATTAACAAGGAGTTGTTTCTTGTTGTGTGCCAGATTCTGTGCTAAGCACTTTGTATATGCTAATGTTTTTGATCTTTGTAACGACCTTACGACACAGTGACAATTATTCATTCCATTTTACAGGTGAAGATCCGGAGATCAAAACTGTTCAATAATTCGCCCAAAGTCACAAAACTGGTAAGCAGTGGAGATGGAATCCATATCCTTGTTTGGGTGATTGCAGAGCCTGTACCTCTGACCACCTGACTAAAGGTGTTCCCCATGGCATAGAGTGGGTGGTAGCCTGGGCAAGCCCTTGCCCATGGGTGAGGACCATTGGTTCAGGGCTCAGCTCACACATGTATACGTATATGGTAGAGTGACCAAGAGTACAGAATCTGCAGCCAGACTCTATGGGTTCAAATCCCAGCTTGGCCTCTTACCAGCTGTGTGATAAGTACCTAGTTTTCCTCATCTGGAAAATGGAGATTTTTTTTTTTTTTTTTGGCGATTTTTAAGAGAATTAAGTTATTCAATATCTGTCAAGCACTGAGAACACAGTCTGGTATAGAGTAAGGCCTTCATAATTGTTTGAGGGTATTTTTGTTTCTGTTTTTTAAATTTTTATTTATTATTCAAATTTAAATTTAATTAATTCACATATAAGGTATTATTGGTTTCAGAGGTAGAGGTCAGTGATTCATCAGTCTTTTTTTTTTTTTTAGATTTATTTATTTATTTATCTGACAGAGAAATCACAAGTAGGCAGAGAGAGGGGGGAAGCTCTGCCAAGTGGAGAGCCTGATGTGGGGCTCGATCCCAGGACTCTTGAGACCAGGGCCTGAGCTGAAGGCAGAGGCTTAGCCCATTGAGCCACCCAGGCGCCCCAATTCATATAATTGAATATGTATATATGTATATATATTCAATATAATACCCAGTGCTCATCACATCATGTGCCCTTCTTAATGTCCATCACCATGTTACCGTATTCCCCACCCCCTCAGCAACCCTCAGTTTGTTTCCTATGATTAAGTGATGATACCAGCACCTGCCTTCAGAGGCCCCAGGTCTGGGCTCTCGACTCCCCCTTTCTGTGCCATGCTGGCCTGCTGAGCAAACTCACAATGCAGGTCAGCAGACAGCCTTAAAATAAACAAATATGTTTGTGTTGTGCCCAGTTATGGAACAGTGTGTATCGAATTGGGTAGTGCAAAACTCATGCAAATAATCTTTTCTTTTTCCAATTCCTGCTGCACACAAGTCTTTCACAACTGACTTGACAAACTCAAATTCCTAAAATGCTGAGGTTCAGAAAGTCCAATCAAAAGTTTGCTAGTAAAAAATGAAACCCTGCCTTCTCTGTCCTCCATCACTGTCCCCATGCCTACCCTCAAGCTACTTTAGCTTTTAGACATGTGGCTACTCAATGCCTTTTTCATTAAAGATATGGGTGAGATATTTCTTTTGGAGTATGTCCAGACAATCTGGAAAACTCATGCTTGATATTAGCTACAGGAAGAATATTTAAAAAACAACAACAACAACAAAAAAAACAGACGAAGAACAAGAAATAAAATTAGGGCAGACAATGGGCCTGCCCTCTTTAGAAATCAGTATAGCTTTCCAAATGGAAGATTTTCCAAATGGTTTTTTAAAAAATTTTGACTTTGTTAAGGAAAAAATAGGTAGACGTACACTCGAAATTTAATATTCTAAAAAGACCTTATTTATTTATTTATTTATTAAAGATTCTATTTATTTATTTGACAGAGAGACAGGGATCTCAAGTAGGCAGAGAGGCCAGCAGAGGGAGAGGAAGGGAAGCAGGCTCTTTGCTGAGCAGAGAGCCCAATGTGGGGCTCGATTCCAGGACCCTGGGATCATGACCTGAGCCGAAGGCAGAGGCTTTAACCCACTGAGCCACCCAGGCGCCCCCCCCCTTTTTTTTTTTTTTTAAAGATTTTATTTATTTATTTGACAGACAGATCAGAAGTAGACAGAGAGGCAGGCAGAGAGAGAGGAGGTGCATTTACCTTTTATAAATAAACTTCTTTCTCTGGGTCTGTCCTTATAGAAAGAAGGTATTTAAGGCCAGTTTTCTACCCATCCCAGCGCTTAAGTTTGACTCAAGGAGCTTTCTGTTCTGTTCCAGCTGTGACATGTTGAAAGTAGACCTGACAATTGTAGACAGCTGGCTATACTCTTTGAGCCTTGACTGTGGCTGTAGCCCACACTGCTTTAGGAAGTAGGGTGGAAGATACAGTGAGAATGGGGGAGGGGCTCTAATGGGAATAGGAAACGGGGTCTTCTCAGGGTCTCTTTTCTACTCCTTTACTCTTCACACCATACAAGGGAACAGAATGTCTCTATTACCCGTGCCTAATTCAGTTCCTTTCACAGGGAGGTACTTGAACCTCAGGATGGGACCATGGCTTTATCTTACCCTTAGTTACAATGCAAAAAGCTGGAGATTGAATGCAAGAAACTGTATCGTGGAAGAACTGCTAAGACCAAAGACAGAAATTTATTGAAAAAGAAGTGACCCATTTTCATCAACTATTAAAAATATCAAACCACATCCAAAGAGATCAATCGCCATGCCCTTCTATACCAGTATCATCTAGTGGAAACTGCTCTAACCTCTAGTCCCTACTAAAGAAAAAGTTAGGTCCAACAGTCTTGTTTTGTACTATGTGATCCAGCTTTCTGTTCTCAGAGGTGATTGGATAAGAGGTGGGCAACTGATTCAAGGAGCATCCATCCACAGATTGGCTAGATTCCCTTGACCTGTAGCCAGGTATGAAAAGAGATGCTGGACAAATCAGAGTCCCTTTTTCCTAGAGGTGGCATGTAAACAAAGAGAGACATTACTAGTTAGTAGCAGGGCAGAAAGGAGTATGGCTGTCCTATATTTCTAATGATGAAAGGCTGTGAATGCTTAGGGATTTCTGTGGGTGAGGTCTGTGCTGCCCACCCCATCAAACTGAGAACTAGCTTCTAGCACTGGTTTTCCCCGAAGCCAGCCCATTCTGGTTCCTGATTTTAGGTTTCTGAAAACTCGCATTATCTTATCATGTATTTTTCTTAACATGCTTGAGCTAACTGGAATGAGTGCCTGATACTTGTAGCCAAAAAAAGCCAAACTAAAACACTATCAAAAAGGTGGGCAAACATAGAGCCAAAATAAAGGGGATGGAAGAATCAGGAAGGTCTAAACCAGAAGCAACAGGAGTAGGTGACTTTGTTAAGGCTCTTGAGGTTATAAATAATATTATTGAAACTAACTCAGGTTGATGAGAGAAGAGGAAAAAAAAAGAATTTCTGTATTTGTGTGATGGATACTAAAGGGCAGCCAAAATTTCTAAAAACTAGTGTCATTCCTCAAAATGTTAATCCATAGGACTGTTGCCATATGAGCCAGCAGTTCCACATCTATGAAAAGGGATGTGTGCACAAAAATGTGTACACCAGGGGCACCTGGGTGGCTCAGTGGGTTAAGCCTCTGCCTTTGGCTCAGGTCATGATCCCAGGGTCCTGGGATCGAGCCCCACATCGGGCTCTCTGCTCAGCAGGGAGCCTGCTTCCTGCTCTCTGCCTGCCTCTCTGCCTGCTTGTGATCTCTCTCTGTGTCAAATAAATAAACAAAATCTTAAAAAAAAAAAAAAGTGTACACCAGTGTTCCCAGCAGCATTATTCAGAATAGGCAATGAGTGGAAACAACTCAAATGCCCACCCACTGAGGAATGGATAAACAAATAGATATATCCATACAATAGAATATTATTTAGTCATAAAAGAAATGAAACTTGACACATACTACAATATGGATGAACCTTGAATAAGTGAAAGGAGCTTGACACAAAAGGCCATATCCTGAATGATTCCATTTATGTCAAATGGTTAGAATAGGCAAATCCATAGAGACAGAAAGTAACGTAGTAGTTACTAGGCATTGTGTGGAGTGGGAAATGCAGTGACTGCTAATAGGCCTGGAGTTTCTTTTCTTTTTTTTTTTTCTTTTTTTTTTAAGATTTTATTTTTAAGTAATCTTATTACTTAATCTCGATTTAAGTAATTGAGCCCCAACATGGGGCTCGAACCCATGACCCTGAAATTAACAGTGGACTGCTTCACCAACTGAGCCAGCCAGGTGGCCATGGAGTTTCTTTTGCAGGGATAAAAATGATATGGAATTAGATAGTGATGATGGTTGCACTACTCTGACTATACTAAAAAACCACTCAATTGCATAGTTTAAAAGGCTTAATTTTATGGGATGTGAATTATAGCTCAATAAAACTGTTATTACAAAAATTACGTATGTACCAAATAGAACAAAGCAAAACAAAAAAAGGAGCTCACGATGTAGAAAGCCAGAAACCATACAATTCTCTCTCTCTCTCTCTCCCCTTCACTGTCATCTCTGCTTCCATATGAACATCTGCTTCATTCTTGTCTCTCTAAAGATCAGTTTTCTTAGCTTTTTCATGGATATAGCAGACAGACTATGAACTCCATAGTTCAAAACTTGTGTGTTGTGACAGAGACTAACTAGATGATCACATACCCATTCTCTCTTCTTTCTAGGCATATGACTGGACTACATTTCCCAGTATTCTCTGCAGTTAGCTGAGGTCATGTGATGAGTTACAGCCTTTAGAATGTGGGCAGAAGGAATGCATGTGATTTTCAGGCCCTACCAACAGAAAAACCTACTCTGCACTCCTTGATCCTTTCCCTCTTCCTTTGACTACAGCCTTAGAGAATGTTTGAACCACTAGATGGAAGGAGCCTCTGTACTTGATAAAATTGTAGAGCATAGCATTTCCCCATCTCCATCTACCCACATTTAACTGTGGTATTATGGAGAAATAAACTAAAGCTACTGAAATCTGGGCATGGGTTGCTATAGTAGTTAACTTCTTCTGAGTCTATATGTCCTCTGGATAAGAGACTATCCCAGATTGACTGTCTGGCTCTCAATTTCAATTTGAAATCTCTAAGTAAGAAAATTGTATTGGCCTGATGTGAGTCAGGTGATCTCCACTTCAATCAACTGAAGCTAGAGTATGAGGTCACAGCACATAAATATAGTCCCCAGGGGGCCTACTTGTGGAAGTGAGCAGCCCTTCTTAGAGAAAAGATGCCTATTGTCATGGTTAAGTAGGAGGGGTTGGTGTGACCCATGGAGACGAAGATGCAATGCCCAGAGTGGCCTTTTCGTTTCTCTCCCCAACACATTCAGAGATAGAGACATGGAGATAAATATAGATACAGATATAGATAATATAGATATATTCTGGTTCCTAATTTTGAAAGTAAAGTTCCTTTTGGACAATTTGAAAAAAAATAAAATCAAGTCACCATTTTCTTTTCTCCTATACTTTCTGTTTATTCTCTTCCTCCCATCCTGTGAGGCAATACAATATAGTAGCAGAGGGTGGCTAACTCTCTAGATTGAGACTACCTAGATATAGCTCCGATACACCACTTTCTGGTTCTGTGGCTTCAGGCAAATTATTTAACAGCCCTCTCTTAATTTCTCCACCCACTTGGGGATATCAATGATAGCACTCGATGTAAGGAGTCTCAGGAAGATCAATGAGTTCATATCTGCTTAGTGCTTAGTGTAGTACCTGGAACATAGTGAGAACTTGTTTATTGTTTGTAGTATGCATTTGAAACTGCATTCCAAATTTTTAAAAATTTTTCTTGAGGGGCGCCTGGGTGGCTCAGTGAGTTAAAGCCTTTACCTTCGGCTCAGGTCATGATCCCAGGGTCCTGGGATCGAGCCCCGCATCGGGCTCTCTGCTCAGTGGGGAGCCTGCTTCCTCCTCTCTCTCTGCCTGCCTCTCTGCCTACTTGTGATCTCTGTCTGTAAAATAAATAAATAAAATCTTTAAAAAAATTTTTTTTCTTGAACTTTCTAAGGATGGAAGGTAGACTTCATCTTTAAGTAACAACTGTTTTTATGTTCTTGAGGACCCAAAGGAGTGGCAGATGTTTTAGATGGAGATGCTGAGGTTTCTGTTGAATAATACAAAAAGCCATGGGGTGCCTGGGTAGTGCAGTCAGTTAAGCGTCTGACTTTGTCTCAGGTCATGATCTCAGGGTCCTGGGATTGAGCCTTGAATTGGGCTCCCTGCTCAGCAAGGAGTCTGCTTATCCCTCTGCAGCTCTCCACCCCCAGCTCATATGCTCTCTCTCCCTCTCAAATAATAAAAACTTTAAAACACACACACACACACACACACACACACACACACACACACACACACACAAAAAGCCATTTCTTACTGGGGGCAGGTATACCTCTGTCTGGATTGTTGCAATATCTCGTGTCCTCTGTTGATGGTCAGAAATAAGAAGTTGGAGGGGTGCCCGGGTGGCTCAGTCAATTAAGCATCCTACTTTTGATTTCAGCTCAGGTCATGATGTTGGGCTTGTGGAATCAAGCCCCCATCAGGCTCAGTGCTGGACATGCACTCTGCTTAAGGTTTCTCTCTCTCTCTCTCCCTTCTTCTCTCCCCAGCTTGTGCTATTTCTTAAAAATCAAAAACCTGAAATCTCAGAACTACTATTTTTTTTTCACTAAAATCAAGATACGATATTGAAGTGTTCTATGATGTTTTAAAATAAATGACTATGAGAATTTGCTATCAAGAATGTATTTTAGAGTTGCTTGGTTCAGTCAGTAGGGCCTGCAACTCTTGATCTTGGTGTTGTGACTTTGAGCCCCATGTTGGGTGTAGTTATTGCTTTTAAAAAATGTATTTTATTTGGTAACAAAAATGCCAGACAAATTCCCAAAGGAACAGAGTATACTCAGTTTTGAAGAAGTCCAATAAAGTTTGTCAAAATCAGTCTCTGCACTCAGTGTGGAGTCTGCTTGTCCCTCTCCCTACGCTCCTCCCCTCAAATAAATAAGTAAGTAAAATCTTTTTAAAAAATAAAATTAAAGGGGCGCCTGGGTGGCTCAGTGGGTTAAAGCCTCTGCCTTCAGCTCAGGTCATGATCCCTGGGTCCTGGGATCGAGCCCCGCATCGGGCTCTCTGCTCAGCAGAGAGCCTGCTTCCTCCTCTCACTCTCTGCCTGCCTCTCTGCCTACTTGTGATCTCTGTCTGTCAAATAAATAAAATCTTTTTAAAAAAATAAAAAATTTTATTAAAAGAAATAAGAAGTTGGGGCCCCAGTGCTTGGGTGGCTCAGTCAGTTAAATGTCTGCCTTCAGCTTATTTCATGATCACTGGGTCCTGGTATCAAGCCCTGAGTTCGGATCCAGGTTCAGCAGGGAGCCTGCTTCTCCATATCCTCCCCACTTGTGCTCTCTGTCTTTGTCTGTCTCTCTCAAACAAATAAATAAAATCTTTCAAAAAAGAAAAAAGAAGTTGGGGCCCCAAGACTTGGGTCTAGTGTACCAGGGGAGAGCCCCAACCAGGAGGGTGGGGAAGCTCCAGGCATGGCAGGCTGAGAGCAAAGGGGAAGGACTGCCCAGAGGGAACCCCAGGAAAGGGTTCTACAAGGGAACTTTAGAGGCAGTGGTATCCGATATCCACTTTTTTTAAAAGTAATTTTTGATAACATTTATTATTTTTTTTATTTTTTATAAACATATATTTTTATCCCCAGGGTACAGGTCTGTGAATTGCCAGGTTTACACACTTCACAGCACTCACCATAGCACATACCCTCCTCAATGTCCATAACCCAATAACCACTTTTAAGTTTTCTTTCTCTGCACTGTAATTCCCTTATGTAATCCTCAAGACTTCACGGAGTTTGTTGAAATTGCAGCCTTATGTCAGATGTGTCTTGGGTAATAGGAAGATGGTTTTCACATTTCACGGTAAGGTAGATTGTAGAGTGACAGCCTGCTGGAAAAGCCATTATGAGAAGTCCAGGGGTGATTGGGGGAGAGTCCTAGAGCAGGTGACCAGTGGAAACCAGCAGAGATGTAATATATAAAACTTTCTGGAGATTCTCAGAAATACATGGAGAGAGGACTGGACTTTCTGCAGTCCTACAAGATGAAGAGTAAATCAGGATACATGAAGAGAAGCCAATCTAATAAGGTTGGAAAAAATGAAAAAAAAAATATGTATTTAACAAATGTGTATTGTGTGTATGCATGTATGTGTACTATATATCTATATAGTGTACTATATATCTATATATCTACACTGGGTTTATAATACATACTTTTTCACTTTTTATCATGAGACTTTTTTAGTATCCTTAAATATTATTCAAGTAAATAATAAGTATATAATGAATAATGGCCTCTTAGTACCCTTCCATGCTTTATTTAACTAATTCCAATTACTGGACTTTTTTTTAGTTTTTCACTTTTGTAAATAGCACTTCAGTGAACATTCTTATATAGTCTTTTTGCATATTAAAAAAATTAATTCTGTGGCGCCTGAGTGCTCTGTTGGTTAAGTGTCTGACTGTTGATCTCAGCTCAGGTCTTGATCTCAGGGTTGTGAGTTCAAGTTCCGCATTGGGCTCCATGCTGGGAGTTGAGCCTACTTAAAAAATATGTAAATATTTCTCAAAATAAGTTCTCAGAACTGTATTTTCTGTGGTAAATGGTATGAATGATTTTAGGCTTTCGATAGAGATTGACAAATTGCCCACTGGAAACATCATACCCAGAAGGACTCCATAACCATCATGCCCCCATACCCTCAGAATTGTAGGAGTGTCCATTTCACTATATCCTCCTGGGCTAACTTGCACATTCAGGGGATTAGCTGTGCTCATATAAAGATGCTGAACATGACAGACAAAGACACAAGAAGGCATTCCCCTGTTACCAAGGGATTTCACCAAGAAAATATGTCTCAATTTCCATGTCAGAAGAATTGCCTTTCTTTACCTTCACAATAGTCTTTCTTTCGCAGGGTTGGCTGTGAGGAAACATCAATATTCCTTACAGAGAGAACTCACCGGATTCCTTAAAGGGAGCTTATTCTTCATTCTCCCCTTTCTACTTTGAAGACAATGTGAAATAATCTGTCTTCTGGTGACATGATTGAGGGAAAACGCTGTGTCCAGTTCTCTCAAGTCCACCCCTATAGGTATTCTGGCTCTAGGTAAATGCCTACTAGGTCTCACCTAATATACTTACAGTGACCAAGACTTTAGATATCATTATGGGGAACACTGTGGGAAAATGAGACTGGGGCATGGAGATCACTTAAGGACCAGATTGATTTAGATAAATTGATTTAGATAAAAGTTGTCCATGAGAACATGAAGAGTTTCAGGGAGGATCTGATGTCATAACTTTGAGAGAAGCATCACAAGTGATATACTCCCACCAACTCTCCTGGCTCTCCCTTCAGTGCACCCCTCAATCCAAGGATAACCATGAGCAGCTCAGAGTTCCCGGCACCCCAGGCGGGCAGGAATGTGTAGGGCACCGTCTACGAGGGAACATCTACCCTGTTGGAGACCCTGATCCCAAATAGCGAAGTGTGGGTCAAAGAAGACATCTAAGCGAAAGCTGTTCAATTTCTCTGACTTCATGAATTCATGGACAGTAGCTCTCAGAAGCACACTAGAACTCTGTTCTGCCCTTAAACACTTGACACCACAACTCCTCCGGTGAGCAGATAAGAAAACTAAGCAAGAAGTTTAGTTGTATCTCCTGAATTGTAATTAAATCATAAATGAACCTGGGCTAGTCCTCAGAATGCTGTACATTGCCTTTTGGTTTTGGGTTTTTTTTTTTTTAAGATTTTATTTATTTATTTGACAGAGAGAGAAATCACAAGTAGGCAGAGAGGCAGGCAGAGAGAGAAGGGGAAGCAGGCTCGCCGCTGAGCAGAGAGCCCGATGCGGGGCTCGATCCCAGGACCCTGGGATCATGACCCGAGCTGAAGGCGGAGGCTTTAACCCACTGAGCCACCCAGGCGCCCCTTTAATTTTATTTTTTAAAAAGATTTTATTTACTTATTTATTTGAGGGGAGGAGCGTAGGGAGAGGGACAAGCAGACTCCACACTGAGTGCAGAGACTGATTTTGACAAACTTTATTGGACTTCTTCAAAATTGAGTATACTCTCTTAGAAAAAAGTACAAAGAATAAAATAATTACCCAGAATCCCAGAATTCAGACATTATCACAGTAAACATTCTTGTGGATATTTTTTCACTCTTTTACCCATAGATCTGTATATATACCGGTCATCTCTTTTATAATCCTGAGGTCATACAGGATTATTTTATAATCTCCTCTTTTCTTGTAGCAGGTTGTTTTTTATTTTGCACCACTAAAAAATAAAATTGTGAGGAGACTTCTTGGTAGATACCTCGATACCTGTGATGATTTGCTTTGGGCTCCTTCCTAGAAGTGAAGATGCTGAATTAAAGGTAATTCACATTTTAGGGTTTTTGATAAACACTACTAACATGCTCTCCAGAAATGTTAACCATCTTACACATCTATTAGTGGTATATAAGACTACCTGTTTTCCTGCCTCTTCATCTATACTGAATAGTATTTTTTTTTTAATTTCCCAATTTAGTTTCTGGCAAATGGTATCTCTTTATTTTAATTTGTACATGTCAAATATTCTTGCCCTTATACAGAATTATTGGTGATTTGTATTTCTTCCTCTGTGAAATGCCTGCTCCTGTCCTTAGTTTTGCCTCTGTTGCTTGACCTGCAGTTGGGCCAAATTGGTGAGCCTGGTTTTGTGCAAATCCCTGGATGACTGAGACTGGCAATTGCTCCACACTGACAAGAAGATGGCTTCCCCACACCGTTGGCCCTGGGAAGCTCTCTGGGGGCGCTTCCACAAGAATGGCTTCTTGCTTTGGTTTGAGAGTAGCCCATCTTATGCCATGGACTGTGTGTACCTGGGTCACATCTTGCCACACAGGCTGGTGCAAAAATGCTGCCATTTTGAAATGAAAGGTTTAGGTCTGAGGGCCTCTCATATTCATTCATAGACTACCATAGACTCTCATTTTCATTCGTAGACTACCAGATTCATAGATCCTCCCAAAACTTCAGTCTTCCCAGTTTACATTGAGGGGACATGACTATGGAGGCCTAATCTAGAAATGAACATTCAGTTAAGAGCAGGCTCCACGTACCCAAGAATGAAGAACTCCTGTGCTGGGAGGACATTAATGATGACCATCACTGGCCTATGCAACTGAAAATGCTCCTCTATTACAGACAATTCATACCTTGGCCAAGCACTCTGTGTGGGCAAAGCCAAGCTTTAGACTAGGAGGAGGACGAGGAAAGATCCGAAAAGCTTCCTGACCACCTGCATGGGGACCCACATGCATGCATACTCACGCATTCTGTTGGCATGCACATGCATATGAAATTACCAAGAAAAGAAATGGAAAGGAATGACATGATCAAAAACAAATAATTCACTTTATATCTCTCCCTTTCTCCAAAAATAATTTCTGACTGCCTAAAGGCAAATTAATACAGTAACACTCATACAGCTTACTCCTCTGATGGACCTACAATAGGCACTCAAAGACTACCTCCCTAAAGTCTGCAGGCAAAAAGGAAACTGCTTCTTAAGTACATTGCAAAGCCTTTATGGGCTTTAATTGTGCCCATGAAGAACCATAAACTAGGGGCGGGAAACCTCCAGGCCTTTAATCTTCTTAATATAGCCCAAGCGTTTCATTGCGCTTAAACACCATTTAGACTTCTTACACTTCCGGTTACAATTTTTTATTTTTTTAATTATTCTTTTATTTGTTAATATTTTATTTTTTGTACGTAATCTCTACACCTAACATAGGGCTTGAATTTACAACCCCTAGATCAAGAGTTGCACGATCCACCGACTGAGCCAGCCAAGCACCCCTGCAACTTATTTTTTAAACTTCTATTTTTATTTACTTACTTACTTACTTACTTATGTATTGAGAATGAATGAGAGAGAGAACAGTGGGGGAGGGGGAGAGGAGACTCTTAAGCAGGCTCTACTCCCAGTGCAGAGCCCGAAGGGGAATTCAATCCCATGACTCTGAGGTCATGATCTGAGCAGAAATCAGGAGGTGGGTTCTCAACTGACTGAACCACCCAGGTGCCCCTATTTTTTTTTTTTTTTAAATACCTGTTCTTTACTCATAGGCTTCTGACATCTGGAGAGAGAAAATTTTAAAATAAAATAAATCTTACATTTTATGTTTATTGTTATTTAAATTAGAGACCATTTTACCTGTAGGTTTTTACAAGATTTCTTTATAATGTTTTGATACTATATTTGGTCATTTGGTTACGAGATTTAAATTTTGGTGTTTTAAGGGATCATAGGGTAGGGAGTGTCTAAAAATCTGCAATTGCTGTATCATCTGATCGTATACCTGAAATTAAGTTTCTAGCTAATCAGGCTTAGTTTTATCAGGTCATCGGCAACAGGTTGCTGAGAGTCTACTGTGGTATGAAAATAAATATGGATGAATAATATTGGACTTACCTCTGAGTGGGACATACATTAGTTTAAGAAATATTATTTTCTGAGGATAGTAAGAAATGAACATGGATGAGGAATTGTTATCTAAGGAATGGTCATTCTATTAGCTTACAGTAAGAACAGAGTGACTAGTGGAGTAAGGGGGATAGTAGTGTGGGATGGGAAGGAAGCATCTAGTAGGTAACTACTGGAAAGTCTAGGAAATCAAGTTCTCCAGCTGAAGGAGGAAGGAGGAGAGAAGACTTAGTAAGGTACCCTCAACTCTAGAAATGCCCCATTACTCAAGTTAATCTTCTGCTTCTGCTCTTCTTTGTTCACTCAACAGATATTTATTGAGCACTTTCCATATGCCACGTGCTTTTTCTAGGAGCTGGAAATAACAACAGTGAAAAAGACAGACAAAATCCTGCCAAACTTCTTTAAACAATGACCTGTGTTTTCTCCTTCTGCATTCACAACACCCTTTTAGCCTTCACCCCCTCTACGACCTGATATCCTCTCCCACCATCATGATAAAACAGTTCTCTAAAGACCAGTGGCCTTCTAATCACTGTATCTAGTGCCCCTTTCTCAGTTATCCTCTTCCTTGGACCCTAGTATTTAATATCACCTGATTTTCATCATTTTTCAAAGTCTTGGCTCCTTTGCATTCTGTGATCTGGCACTAGGTTGTTTTTGTTTTTGTTTTTGATCTTTTTTTTTTTATTTTTAAAAAATTTTTTATTCATGAGAGACTGAGAGAAGCAGGCTCCCCATGGAGGTGGGAGCCTGACTCAGGACTCGATCCCAGCACCCTGGCATCAGGACCTGAGCTAAAGGCAGACACTTAACCAACTGAGCCACCCAGGTGCACCACTATGGCACTAGTTTCAATTTGCTTCCTACAACTGTTACTGCTTCTTCCCTGACTCATTCTCTTGCCTCCTGAATAAATATTGGTGGTCCCTCAAGTCCTACACTCTTATTTTCTCTCTCTCTCTCTATCTCTTAAATCTTTTCCCTTGATGATTTCTCATGGCTTACATCTTTGACTCTATTTAGAAATACCCTAAATCTATATTCCCGGACCCAGCCCTCTCCTAAACTGTAGTCCCACATTTCAAACTGTGTGCTGGAGGCTTCCATCTAGGCATCTGAGCATCATGCTAGCATAATCTTTTTAAAAGTGTTTGTGCCACTCAGTGTTCTCAACTGCTAACAACAGAAACCCACTCTGGCTAAGTCACACAGAAAATGAATTCACTGGGAGGATATCAGGTGGCTCACTGGGTAGACAGGGAAGCCAGAGGACCAAGCATGGAAAACGGGCAGGAACCCAGGCAGTCTAGGGCACAGAAGGCACAGCCAAATTCACCCCACAGGAGGAGTCTGTTGAGGACGCTGCCCTGGAGCTGGCTGTCCCCCTATCTTCCCCCCTCCCCCACTATCAGTGCTGGACTTCAATTCTCAACCTAACTTCCAGTGTGGTACCTAATTGCTGGTTTTTGTGTTATCCCCCCCTCCAATTTAAAAAGCTGAGCTGTGGCTTCCAATTGGTCTAAGTCATGACAAAAATGACCTCTAATTCCCTTCAGCTTCCCACAGAAGGAAAGGAATTCTGATGCAGGCCAGTGAAATATGGCAACTAATCACCATATTTTATTTTATATAATCACCTCATTTCTTGAAGTTGCCCTTTGCATTTAATGCTGACATCATTTTCTCCATCACTAGACACTGCACCTCAAAACTCTCCTTTACCCCTTCCGCTCCCTCAGCTTCTGAGGCAGTCATCCAGGTCTGTGAGGGTTTTGTTTACTGTTCATTCATGTGTTGTTTCCCTTCACACTCTTTTCTTCTTTGACCTTTCTGCAGAGACACCCCCCCACCCCCCACCCCCATGAGCTCTGCAGTAGCTTCTTAATTGCATTCCCCACTTTCAGTGCCTCCTCTAGGTTATCCATCCACAGGTTAATTTTTCTGTGACAATACTTTGATCATATCGCTTGCTGCTAAAACTACATTGTTGATAGATGTCTCAGCCTGGCGTTCAAGGATCTCTAAACGAGAATCCCAAAGAGACTAAGAGGCAAACTGGTACACTGAAAAGAACTTGACCCTCAGCTGCAGACAGACATGGGTTCAAACCCTGATTTCCCCACACTCTAATTGTATACTTCTGAGGCTCATTTTTTTGGTCTGAAAAGTGGGGGTAATAAAATATA